TGATCCTTCCCATCCCTCTCAGGTGCGCTGTACTGACCCTCCCTGCTCCCCCGAGGTGTCTAAACTGATGCGCAGCTGTCTACCCTCCGCGCTCCTTGTGCAGGTGCGCTGTCAGGCTGAGGAGTACCCAGAGAACACGGAGGAGGCGCGCCGGTTCGTACTGGCCGTCCAGGACGTGGAGATGCTGGACAGGATCGCCACCTCGGACATCAACAAGTTTCTCTACCAGTACTCGTCAGAGAGCTGTCCGCGACAGGCGCACTCCAACATGGTGCGTGACGCCCGCGCTAGAACAGACTAGGCTTGGTGGGGAAATGTTACGGCATGAATCTGGGAGCTGAAAATCGGTTGTAATGTATATTGAAAATACGGCTGGCAGTAACTGATCGCCGCTTCTGTAGTGTCGATAGTGATAACTTGGGCTCATAGTTTTAGTGACACGTAAAGCAATTAACAATGTAGCTGAAACGCTCTTAAAAGTTAGAAATCGTCGTTGAAGTATCGCCGTTTCATCCCGTTCATTGCCTGTCTGTTTCACATCGCTCCCTGCTGTCTTCCCTCAGATTCTTCTGAAGGCGCTGAGCCGCCGGCCGGACCCTGCCGTGGACACGGAGGAGTGTGACGTACGGCTCTCGCTCTGCCCGATCCGGCTCAATGTCGACCAGGACGCCCTGTTCTTCCTCCGGGACTTCTTCAAGGAGGTGGCAGGGGACGTGACTGGTGAGTGCTGAGGGAGGGTAGGAGGGTGTGTGCGGCAAAGTGATGGGGTCAGGTGAACAGATGATGATGAGATTGTGTTTGGAGGGCGGGCGTTTAGATGCTTTGTCCTTGCGTGAACAAGGGGGCATCCGTGTGAATCTACTCTGAGCTTAGTGGGAGGACTGGCAAGTTTCTACTGAAGAGTGAAGAGTATTTCATCCATGCTGGAATCTTTTTCTCACACTGTTTTCACCGAATGGCGTGACCTACCCGATACTGCCAAGTGAAACTGTGTTTCATGTGCTAGCTATTTCATCGTGCAATTACCTCCCGATTCTTTTCATCACCCTCTTCCTCCTACTCACCTCCCCCCCCCCTCCGTTAGGTGGCTCCGGCTCCGGCTCTGGTGGACCGGTGCCAGCCGGCTCGGACGCACCTGTCCTATCCATCACCCAGCAGGACGCGCCGTTCGACCTGGCCGACGACCGGGCCGACGCAGAGGGAGAAGACGATGATGACGACGAGGGAGAGGATGAGGACAGACTGCCGCCACAGGCCGCCCGCTCGGCGGCCGCCGACACGCAGAAGACGTTCTTCAGGTATGTGCCGACAGGGCGGGACTGGAGTGCGTTAGATGATCGGGCTTTTATCGGGAGCAATATCGTATTGGGTAAGGCGCTTTTGGCTGCTTATTGGCGGTAGTGCATTCAAAAGGCTTCTTTGTTTTTACCTACTTTTGGAGTGACTGATAAAGAATATGGCGTTTGATCAACACTTCTTATCAGAAACCGTCAAAATAGAGTGCATCGTGTTCCACTATAACTTACACCAGCTGGCAGCCGGACAAGTTGCCGTCATTGATCAATAGTGTTTTATCATAAACGACAACATCGTTTGAAGTTGGCCTGCAGTGCTGTGCCGTGACCCTCTCCCCGTCCTCTGCGGCAGAACGTTCACCTTCTCCCCGGAGGTTCTGATCCGAATCGACTACCAGGGAAAGCGTGTGGATATTGGCCAGTTCGGACCGGTGATCGGACTCATCATCGGACTGGGCCAGCTCAGCTGCTCAGAGATCCGACTCAAACGCATCAGCCATAAGAGCGGGTATGTGGGCGGGTCTTGCATCGGCGTGCTCACGCTGATCCTCCCTTACACGGGTCTCATCAAATGTAAAATGATCAGCTTTTAAAATTGTGGTAAAAAATATTGATGGCTATTCAGTGTTCAGTACTGTACATACGTGGTTCAGTCTCGTGCGCTTCAGTGTACTTTGTTGATGCTTATGAGACACCTTTGCTGTGAAAGATTGCTCGGTGAGTATCTGACCTCTCGGCCCCGCCCCGTCAGCCTGCTCGGCCTGGACCGCCTGGTGCAGCACGCGCTCAACGAGTGGCTGACGGACATCCGACGGAACCAGCTGCCCAGCGTGCTCGGTGGTATCGGACCCATGCACTCCTTCGTCCAGCTGTGTGAGTGACGGGATATTGTCGCTCGGAGGGGTGGGGAGCCCGGGTAGGATATTGGGTATTAAGATGGTGGAAGTTTTAATTCGTCGGGCGGTCAGTTAATAGAGCTCACCCTGAAGTGGCTTGCTCAATGCATGCAATGTGATTTGTACTTTTGTATTCATGAAATTTTATGGTAATTTTGTTTTGGACACGATTCTTCCCCAGCGGTTTTCCGCTAATACTCGCCTCGATTTCTAATTCTCTAACTCGCATCTCCACCGACTGAGTATCATCTGAGCATCCTCTGACTGAGCACATTCCCAGCTGACGTCCTCAGCTACCCACTAATGTCGTACTCTCTTTACGCTGACTCCCTTGGTCTGCCTCCGGCCGCAGTCCAGGGTATCCGCGACCTGGTGTGGATGCCCATCGAGCAGTACCAGAAGGACGGCAGGATCTACAAGGGCCTGCAGCGGGGCGCCAACAGCTTCACCACCTCCACCGCCATGGCCTTCCTCGAGCTCACCAACCGGCTCGTCGGATATGTTCAGGTGGGCGGGGTGTCTCGGATGGTTGATGAGGCGTACTGGGTAGTGGGTGGGGCGCCGCTTGATAGTGGATGAGGCGGACGGATGGGGAACAAATGGATATCACGCAGTCGTGATGATGGGTAAATGCTGTTACGTTACGATTATACAAGCTAGCGGTGGTGCTGCACCGCTTGGCGTGGCTTCTGAGCCCAGTCATCCGTTTATTCAGTTGGACTGAAGTTCTTAAAAAAAAAACATTTAGTACAGTCACATTCCATATCTCCCCTGTCCGCCTGCTGAATCGTTTTCCCTCCATCTCCGAGCAGGGCGCCTCGGAGTTCACCTACGACATGCTGTCGCCGGGACCGTCGATGCGACAGAAGCGGCGCCAGAAGCGCAGCCGACGCCGCACCTCCAACCTGCCGCAGGACCTGCGGGAGGGCGTGACGAACGCCTACGAGCTCGTCAAGGAGGTGGGTGATGCGGGACTGATGACTTTGAGGGATACGTGCGGAGTTCATAGGACGGTCTGTGGTGTTGTTACGACAATGATAGTGAAAGGTAAACGTTGGTAATGGAGAAGGTATGAGAAATGACATGTTTGTCGGTTTGTCTTTATATTATGCAAATGCTAGTTTTTTTTTGTGAGGCGCTTAGATCACAAACATTCATTTGGATCGGATGAAAATGTTTTGTCTTTGTTTGATATGCAGGCATCGTTCGTATCAAATTTGATCGTCAATGGATCTAGTTGAATTAAATGCCATTTGTGCTGTTTAATGAATTAACATATTCTGACATCCCGATAAGTAAATCCCCCTGTCCCGATCTCCCATCCCCCCGTTGAAAACCCCTCACCCGTCCCGCGTCCTCCCACCCACAGGGTCTCGGCGAGACGGCGCAAACTCTGGCGCGCGTGGCCGCCGAGGAGCACGACCAGAAGGGCGTGTCGGGCGCCGTGGGCGGCGTGCTCCGACAGATACCCCCCACCATGGTCAAACCCATCCTACTGGCCTCGGAGGCCACCAGCAACGTGCTCGGAGGCATGCGCAATCAGCTGGCGCCCGACGCGCGCCGAGAGGCCATCGACAAGTGGAAGGCTACAGAGTGAACAGGGAGGATTACGGAGGGGAGAGAGGGGTGGGGTGGGAGTTTGGGGAGAGAGGGACGGGAAGAGAGAGGTGTTTCTACCATAGCCAGGAATATGTGATGATAATTATGTCTAGGAGGGGGCTGAGGGGAGTGAATTACCGGGTGATTGAGTGGAAGGCTGTCGACCCAACGGCACATATGGCGGAGGGGTTCACTGTGTAATAAAAGATTTTTAGAACACTTGCTGGGGATGTTATGTCCAGCACTGAACAATTTTCATTGCCGGAGTGGATGGTCCACACGCCTATCAGGTTTATTTGTGGAGCTTTGTTGAACGGGTGACTGGGCATGGTCGGGGGACCGGGCAGATTGTCGGCGGCGGGCGGGCGCACCGGCCGCCCGCCGGCCTGCTTGTTACCGTGTCTTTCTTACGCCGCATTGTGTGCGTCTGTGGATGGTGTGATAGGTCTATTTTGTAGCGGCGGCGGCGGCGGCGGGCCGTCATTCCGGGCGGGCGCGGCGCCCGGCCGTGTGCCTCCGTGACGCTGCCGGCCGGCGTTCGGCGCTTCTCCGCCGGCCGGGCCGCGCCGCCCGCGCGCTTCAGTCGAGTCCCGAGCCGGTGCTGCCGCGGGCCGGACCACAGCCTGCCCCCGAGTACCCAGTGCTGAATGTGTCCATTGTGTGCCGCATAATGCAGTGTAGCTGGATATGCACAGACGCCAATATATTTGTATCGTTGCCGGCTTGGTGTTTGGCAGGAGGCGAAAAAAAAAATGGAGCTCATAAATGTCTTATAGCATATACCCATACCTACGTGATTCGCGGAGTATGGACAGCCGAGAGGCGGATTTTGAGGTTGATGCTTGGAGATACGTTGATGGTGTGGGTCATGGGCCTCAAGATGACTGTGGTGGGAGGAGAATGGGCACGATGTGCGTGCTGCGTTGCCTCTGGCGCTGATCCTGACTGTGTCCTCTTCCGGCTTACCATAAAGTGCAGACCAAGATTATCAAAAAGTGCAGACTGCTCGAAAGTCAGGATGGAGACTTCTAATCGATCTAAAAAGTTTTCGGAATTCAGCCTACAGCTCTTTTTCAGCTTCTATCAGCTTACAGAAAATCAGGAGCATTATCGCCTGTTTGGTTCGACAAGATTCCTTTACTACCGACGAGGCCGGTCGATAAAAACTTCAACTGTGGTGAAAATCCTTCAGCTGGTAGCAACCTCCAATTTGGTAGCAGTTCAAAATCCTGACGCGTCAGTGACAAATCCTGATGCGTCAGGTGCGGATTTCAAAAGGATTTTTTAGGAGTTTTTGCGATTTTCAAGAAAAGGTAGGTGTCGATTCAGTGCCCAATTGAGCATATTTAACAAGTGGCTTCAGGTGCATCAAAATCAAATACCATTGAGGTGGTCTGACTTTGAGCGTCTGAGCCTCGGCCAACTCATCAGTCATCACAGCTTGTCAAGGACAGGGAGTCCTGCGTATGATTGCTAATTTAGTCGGTTTACTTTTAAGAATGCAACAAAAAAATTGTAGCCTGCTCCCAATTGGTATGAATCATCTTAAGCAATTCCTTTTTTAAATGCAGCCAATTCAGCTCTACTTCGGGGTCGGAAGCTGAAGCGTCAGGCAGCAGTTTTTCGTATTAAATCAGTGCTCTCAGTGCAAATTTGAATGGGAAGATATAGTGACAAAAGATGAAGGAATTTAGGTAAATGTCAAGGTAAAGTCCTAAGAAGATTTGAAGGATGTTTTTTTTTCATAATCTTACATTGTTTGACTGTTGACATCCTGAATCCAAAAATGATACTTACATGTTTCCCAAATAAAAGGAAATAACAATCAAACCTGACCTAACCTTACCTACTTACCTACTTACCTACAACCTACCAACCTACAACCTAACCTAACCTACAACCTAAAATTTCCACTGTTTCATATTAATATAAACAGTGCCACAATTGTAGATCGGACCTTATCTTGACAAATACTGGAATTTCATTAAGTCTGATCCTATTTGGAGCTATTATGCCAAATTGCATAACATTGAAATTGAGACCAACCAGTTTTACCAACATAAAAATTACTGGTTGTCAGTATTTACTATTTTTATGGGTATTTTGTGTTTGACCTGATACCTACTCTGCAGAGTGCAGCTTTTGATGTAGTATTATTGCATGGCACCTGAGATTTGAGGATGCCTCTGTTTCAACATTTCTGTTAGGGGTTGTACTTATCTGTGCAGATACATACTAGAGGGATTTATGTAGACTTCCTGCATTGGAATGCTGCTCTGTTCTGACATCTTTTGGGATGTGTAATTAATGTCAGCTTCAACAGCTTTACCTCTTTATATGTGAGCTTATTTATATAGGGTCATTTAAAGACATGATGTGGAGTTGAATTGTGAAGTAAAAATTAAAATTTGTGAATTGCATAACATTAAAATTAAAAATGATGAAAAATGAAATGAAAAATGATGAAATGAAAAATGAAAAATTAAAAATTAAAAATGAATTGTGAATTAAAATTGTGAATTGTCTTCTGTTGCAGGGATATGAAGAAGAGTTCAACAATCAGAATGTCCATGTTTTGCCCAGACGATCCAACAACACCATTTGGAATGATGGACAGAAATGTCACCACCAGAAGGAGAGGTCCAAAGTCCAGCAAAAAGAGTGCAAGTGAGCGAGCAAAGAATTCAATGGATTCAGCATCAGTTTTGATGAAGGATGGTGCTTGTTTCTTTTCAATCGGGTGCCAAGCAAAACACTTTTTCTGCTCAGTGTTAGGAGTGGCATTATCATATTTTGTTTTTTCTTTGTAATTGAGGATGGAACACTTACATTACATTTATCTCCATTTATATTACCAGATATCATATAGAAGTTGCCGTATTTTTCATCATAATTTGCATAACATATCAGATCATCTGTCTTGATTAGATCATCCATGTCAAACTGAGTCAGTTTTGTGTGTTTTTGCAGGGCTCATCATGTCTCTTCCCTCTCCCTGACCATGCACTGACCCTCCACTCCCTGCTCCAGGCTCCAGTAAGCTGTCACTGCGCCGACCGGAGCCGGTAGCCGGCCCTCCCTCCGACCAGGAGAACGCGCCGCCGCTGACACCGCGCCGCCAGGGCCGCCGCCTGTTCTCCCAGCCGGAGATTGTCGAGATCGAGCCGGTCGCCGAGCCGCCGCCGCCCCCGCCGCCGCCCGTGGGTCTGCCGAAGGCCCGGCCGCCTCTCAGACCGACGGTCGTTCAGCAGAGTAACACACAGGAGTCGGGACTGATGGAGGGATGTCGACGAAAGGAGGCTCCCGAACGATTCGCGGCACCACGACTGTGTGAAGAAGCTGAGGAGAGGAAGCTGGAGACGGACGCTCTACTGCAGAAAATGACAGAGATGTCGCTGTCAGAGGCGCCCGCGCCCCGTGGTGCCGTGGATGGTGGCGAGCAGTCAACGGCAACTCCAGCAGATGAGGAAGCGGACACAGTCGAGATGGCTGACAGAATACCGGCGGCGGCCGAGTCTTCGGATTGCAGGTGTACGCGGGCACCACCACGGCGGTCGGGGTCATATACGGCACCGGGCCAACCGACAGACGTGCCCTCTCCCACCAGAAGTGAGTCACGGAGCGTGGAGAACCCGGTACCAGTGACCGCGGCGGAGTCCGAGCCACGCCAGCCATCCTCAGACTCTTTCGTCTCAGCGGCGTCTTCTCCCGTGGTGGGTCGACCGGCCGCCGCCCGCACTCCCGCTGTTCGCGCCGCTCCTCCGGCCATAGCTGCCTCCCCTGTACCCGACTCTGTCAGACGCTCTGACTCTGACTCTGACTCCGGTTCCGAGCGCAGTCTGCCCTACTTCACCCCTCGGCGTCCGGCGCGGCACCGAGCGCCTGCCGCCGTCCAGGAGAACTCCAGTTCGTCGGACGAGGCCAGCGAAACCGGCGGCGGCAGGCAGGCGCCGCTGCTGACTCGAGCCCTGCGCCGACTGCCAGCCACCACGTCCACCCCTGCGCCGGGTGTGACGGCTGGCTGGCGGCTGGACGCCACTGGGATGCCCTCACCGGTATTGGAGGCAGATCCGACGCCGTCGCCGCCTCTTGCGCGGCTGAATAAGGTAGGGTTACCGCAGAAGGCTGAAGGGGTGCTGCCAGGTGGTGTGGCGTCTAAAGCAGGCGGAGAGAGACATGGAGCGAACACCGCCGCGGAACAGTCGCGAGCGGGCTCGTCTGTCATCATGGGGGAGTACCGGAGAGGGGCAGCTCCCGCCGCGCAGCGCACGCTCGCGGAGGAGACCTCGGAGGATTCCTCGCCGTCGGTGGAGCTGGTGACCGCGCCCGCTCGCCGGCAGAAGACAGCGCGACCGGTCGAGTCGTCACCATCACCAGTCAGGGAGCCGCCCCCGCCGGCGGTCAGGCAGCCTTCCCCTTCTCCGCCGGTAGCCGTCCCGGCAGTGGCGGCCCGCGCTCCCCTGCGCGCCCCGGCGGCGGGAGGAGGGCGGCCGGCGGCGTCACCGGCGGCCCGTCCGCCGCGACTGCCGCCCGGAGTCTCGGCGGCCGTGGACGTGGCGCGCTGGCTGGAGGAGAGTCCGCTGCTGTCGGCCGTCTCGGAGGAGTCAGATGTGGTAGTGATCGACTCGGACCACGAGTGGGACGACTCGGACCTGCTCAGCGTGTCTGAACGCGCCGCCGCCGCGCTGGTGGAGCCCGACTCGGGCCTCGGGCCGCCGCCGCCGCCGCTCAGGAGCGGCCGGGTGCGGCCAGAGAGGTCGCCACAGGCGCCGCCGCCGCGCAACCCTCGTCGCCAGTCGTCCGGCTCGTCGGCGTCAGAGGACGAGCTCGAGAAATGTGAGAACGATTTAATATGCATTCAGCTTAGTTTACATTTGCTTTGGGTATTGATACTGCTTACCTCAAAATGTCTATTATTGGCCAATTATGGGCTGATAAAATTTTAAGCTCTATCCATTAAAAGACAAAAATAAATTACAATTATATTGTAATCTGAAATGATCCGTATGCAACGGTGAAGATGTTGTTTTTTATATTCTTACTTGGTTGAGAAACGACCATACTTTTACCGTTGCTCTTACCTTCTCAATATTCGTTCAACCGTGTCTATTCGTGTGTTTGACCCGTGCTCCCTCTACTGACCCTCAGTCAAACGCCAGTTTGTGACCCCTCGAAAGGCGCGCGAGCCGTCACCGTCCGATGGCGAGGACAATTTCATTGACGACGGCTCGATCAGCTCGGACGACTCCAGCTACCATCGCGCTGTGGCTACCGACTCGGCCGCCAGGCGAACACCACGGTGAGAGGCAGGGGAAGAGGGCAGGTGGAGCAGAAATGTGTGATATGAGAAAGCTAAATTCACTTAGAATCAATAGTATAAGCAAAATGAAGAAGTAAGTACATAAGGGAGACAAATGGCAATGCTGAAAGAACAAAACGCCTCAATCACATCGCCTGAATTGGGCAGATAGATGGTGGGAGGGAAGAGAATCGAGAGAGAAAAGAGAGGAAGAGAGGAAAGAGAGAGTGAGAGTGAGCGAGTGATCAGAGTCTGACAAGCTATTTGGTAGATCCTTAGTTGATTTGATACGCCGTTCTGATAATTATCCACTGTAACCGCCCGCCTGACTGTCGACCTGCTTCTGATGCCGTTCTCTGAGCGCGTCGCTAATGCTGCGTACGCCACAGTCACCCGACCGGACGGGTCGCGGGACGTCTTTTTACCGGTCTGCTGTGTTTCGAAATGGGAGCATCGTTACACCGGCTGGTCGCGTCTGCCGTTAGATATGCGTGGCATTGCGCTCGCATGAGCTTTGCAGTCCATGAACTATGTAGTCGAGATTAATTGTACCTACCTCCGTAGCGTAGCGTATGATGTGTTATCGAGCTTCAAAGGCTTTACGGAATTAGTTGTCACGGGTTTTGTTGTATATACTATGTCGGGTGTTAATTTTGCTGTTGTTGGTCGGTATTTGGCTCGTTTGTATTGGAGGATTTCCAATACCAGAAAATGCAAATGCTCTGTATAGATAGGCAACATTCTCACTCCGTCGTCTACTAATCATTTCACACCTTTGGGAATGATGTCTGACCTAACCTGACCTGATGTGTCTCGGGCAGTGTGAACCCCCAGATTCGGGCCAGCGATGAGTCTCTGGAGGCTGCCGAGACGACTCCCGAGGAGCAGCCATTCCTGCCTCCTCCACCGAGACAGGTGAGACATTGCTGCCATGATGCAGATTTATTTATTTATTTATTTAGGCTCGTTACAACATCCACGTAGTGGCTTTTACGTTGTAGTGTCAGTATACATGAAAATCATCTCACATCTCGGGCATAGATAAAAAGACAAAAAGAAAAGTAAAATACAAGAACACGATAAGAATATTAAAATACCACGATAACAGCATCTATAAAATGTTGAGGTAAGCTAAATCACCATCCAATAGGTACATGAAATATATGTAAAAGATGACAGTAAATGGAGCGGTACTAAATGACCTAAAAGGCGAACGAACAATGACACCTAAGATATAAACATTGCACAAACTATCACACTAACGCATTCTCTCTGATATTCTTCCTGCACTGCCTAACGGTCGGCGCCTCCCGGACAGCTGGTGGCGCTCCATTCCAGCTAGTCACGGCGCGGTAGGTAAAGAAGCGCCGGGCACGTTCAGTGCGCACCTTGGGTAGCTGGAGCTGCCCAGCTTCAACGGCCCGGGTGCTGCGTGCTGATATGTCTGCGCGGGACTCGACAAGAGTTTTTAGATTTGCGGAATAAGTTCCGTCTTTTAGAATCTTATGAATCGTGAGAATATCCTTTTCCACAATAAGTTTGTCTAAATTTTGCCAATTAAGCTCAGCGAACAACGGTGTGACGTGCACGTTGCGCCGTGATGAGGTAGTGATTTGGGCAGCATGATTCAGCACCTTCTGGACTCGTTTCCGCTGGACATCCCTGCACCCACCCCAAACAGTAAGGCAATACGCTATATGTGGGAAGACCAGAGCCTCAACAATGAACTTTTTTACTGCGGTGGGTAAAGAATGGGAAAATTTCGCCAGCCCTGCCAAAGTTGCGTATGATCTCCGGATCACCATCGAGACATGGTCCTCCCACTTCAGCTCGGGGTCCAATGTGACGCCTAACACTTTCATCTTGATTGCTGGCCGCACCTGCGCACCAGCAAAGTTCACCATAATGTCGCCACCAATGCCTTGTTTTGGCATGCCAAAAAGTATCATTTCGGTTTTAGCCGGATTAATTTTAAGTCCGTTTTGGTCATACCAGTTCTGAACGATGGAGAGCATATCCTCCACTTTGTGTTTATGACTATTCATATCGTTTTTGTTGAAACTGTTGAGAAATTGCGAGTCATCGGCATACATTACAATTTTATCGCAAACGACATGGGAAGCGACATCATTAGTGAATAACGAGAACAAGATTGCTCCCAAAGTGCTCCCCTGTACCACGCCATGGGTGACAGGAAGGAGGTGTGACCCCCCTTTTACTATCTGACGCCTACCGTCAAGCCAGTCGGAAAACCAGTGCCCATCCACGCCGTGCCAACCTAGTTTATCCACGAGTCTGCCATGCTCGACGCTGTCAAAGGCTTTGGAGATATCGGCCGCAATATTTGACACCACTTTCCCCTTGTCAGTTTCCGATATTATGAATTGGACAGCGTCGAGCATAGCAGACTCCGTGGAGTGACCCCTACGGAAGCCATGTTGCTCCGGACAAATAACATTATGCAATGTAAGATATTCCACCAGTTGATTACATACCACCCGCTCCGCCAGTTTGGACACCGTTGGCAGAACCGACACGGGGCGAAAACAGTTAACATCAGTCGCATCACCTGATTTGAATAGGGGTGTCACTATGGCCAGCTTCCACTCATCCGGCAATGTTCCTGTTCGGATGGATGCATTCACTATACGTAAAAGGTGAGGTCCGATAACTGGAAACGTTTGTTTCAGCATGGCCACTGTGATGCCATCGGCACCACTGGATTTTGAATTGTTCATCTGTGCAAGTGCAGACGACAGTTCGGACAGAGTAGTTGGGTGCACGCGAAATGCGCCACTAATGACACGCGGCGGCCGCGGCGTCAACCGCTGCCCCTCCGCAGCAACCGTCTCCAGCGATGAGGCAATACCAGGACCAACGGATGCAAAATGAGTGTTTAATGCGTCTGCCCACTCAGTAGATTTTACATCGGTCGTTTTACGGCCTGTGCTGTCACGTTTTGATGCAATCAAAAATTTCCGAATGTCGGTCCAAATTTTTGGTTTCGAGTGCCGATAGCTTGTCAAAAAGAAATTTGACCGTGACCGACTTTGGGCAGCCTTGGCAGCGTTACGAGCGCGCCTGTATTCCGCCTCGGTGTCCCCACGGCGCGGGGTGTTTCTGTTTGCATCCCTATCTGCTCCCTATTGCATCCCTATCTGCATCCCCCCCCAGATGCATGTGAGACATGCGTTCACGAGGCAGGTGAGACATGACTCAGTTGAGGCATGAAACAGCTGCTCTTGGGACAGCTGAGACAAAGCTGCTCTAAGATAGATGAAACGGGGATGGAAAGTGAGAAAAGCCAAATTAAATTGTAGTGAAAGTGAGATATCGGTTTTGTGATATGCTTACGATGCCGCTTCTCCCATAGCACTCAAACATTCAGCGATTCCGCAAATGTGCTGAAATCAATGATTTCCATACGAGACTCTCGAGCATATTTTAGTCCAGGCTGCCAGACTAGCGTATGGTTGATTTGGGTAATGGTAACATGCATCGGCGACCCGCGTCGTCGCTTCATTCTACCAAGCAGAACTACATGAACGTGCACGTTCTTTACTTGACAGCATGCTCGAATAGCTGCACTTGCTTTAGCGTAATCTCGGATTATTTTCAAGTGCAGCTGTCGCGACTGGCGCCCGGTTATCGTGTCTAGCTCCTGCTTGACTAAGCACTGGTAAACCTCCTGCAAACATGGTACAAGCTCGTGAACCCCCGGGAACACCGTTGATGCTGTCACGGCCCTGCCGTGGACCAGGGCCGCGGCCGGTACACTCCCGACAGGGGTGAACGTTACTCCGCGGCTGAGCACGTGATCGTCGTTTCGTCGGTTTTTTCTAGGGATGTTAATAGCAGAATATTTGGGAGCCTGTATCGAACCAGCTATCCAACAAAATCATCAAAGAATGCTCAAAACCAAAACCATCTTGGGGTATGTAGAAAAATACTATGTTTTACCAAAGCAAGAGGATTTAACACATAGGTGACGGCTACATAAAGCCAACAAAATATAAAAAACATTGGATTGAAAGTAGTAAGTACCAAATGCTTAGCTGATATCGGCTCGGAATTGCTTTTCCAAAAAGTTTGAAACCGATTGACATATCCACTATCTATGTAGTCCGTTCGTCCGGCTGGGGGGCGGGGAGGGGGCGGTATGCGGCGTCGAGCAGGTGTCGCCAGAGCGACGCCACGAACAGATAACGCGGCGGCGTGATTGTCAATGTTTGGGCGTGTTTCGATAAGGCTCTGGTTAACGGTCGGGGGGCTGATGTGCAAGGAGGCTTGTGCTTTGGAGTGGCAGGCAGGTTTGCTGGTTTGCTTCGTAAAACACGACATTGTTACGGATACTGACACGAGAATGAGATCTTCAGCGTTATCAACGTCATATAAATAAAGTAACAAGATGTCTCTTTATTGCAAAGGAAGGCCCGCAGACACGTCGTTATCTGTGAATCAAATAACAAAATAAGATTACGTCTTGGCAGGTGACTGCACCTTCCTTCCTCGAACCCAGTGCAATAACCGTTATGACACGGCCGTCATTCCCCCTAATGACGTCACCGTACCCCCTGTGACGTCAGTGTGGCCAAATTGGTTTAGCGTTAGGGGAGGATGTATAAAAAAGTCGTATGAGTATGTCACTATTAAAAAAAAAATCGTCTTCAGCCTCATTTTAGGTGTAGTTTTTACAAGTAATGTGGAAAAACTATAGGTACCTGACGTCAAGCTCTGGTGGAATGTAAAAAAAAAAAACTCCAAATATTGTCATTAAAGATGTAAAAAAAAAACATTGCAAGCGCGACAGCACGAGTAGGGGAGAGCGGGGCCAGTTGAACCACTTTTTATATATTGACATGCACAACGAGATCTAGTTGTCACATCGAAAAATGCACAATACCATGAAAAAATATGTTCTTTTGGCTTTATTTTAAGATATGTAAAATTATGTTTCAAACATATTTTGCTGCCAAACGCATGCTTATAAAACAGCTCTACGCCCGTTTCAAATGACCCCGATGCGAGGGTCAATTGAACCAGCCCATGGGGTCAATTGCACCTATCCTTAACAATGGGATGTTTTCCTCTTTAAGGCCACTTTCTTAAGGAGATATTTTGTCCGGTTTACTTTTCCAAATGCTACATTCAATAGGTCGTTGGAAAGCTAAAAGTGCAAAGTTCCTCATAATAGGTGACATAAAGGACATAGACTATGGTAAAATGGGCGGATGAGGAAAATGAGAAATATCTCAGGCTATAGTGTGCTTTCAAGCAAAAGGCTGGAGAAAAGGGGTAAAAAAATTGAACTCTATTGAACTACTATTTCAGTTTAAAAGCTCATTTCAAAGGTGGACTATTTCCTTTAATGTTTACAGCCCCGGAACAATAACCATTGCAAAGGTCACCGGGGTCCATTGAAACGGCCTGTGGCCCTGTTTCAACTGACCCTCAGAGAAGCGTTTCAATTGACCCCATCCGCTCCCGCCATCTCGCACGCGCCGTAAAGCACATGTCAAACGAGCTGGAGGGACGGCATCATGCTGAATGAAGGGCCAAATAAGGTGTTATTCCGGAGCCAGGAGTTCTTCTTTCAGCAAACAAAGGTATATGAGATATCACAAAATATTCATAAAAACGATTTCTCCCAAACGCCCCTCAAAAACACAAAAACAAGTATCAAATCAAAAGTACCGTCCGTTTGCCGCCCAAACGCCGTTGACAAAGGAAGTGGTCGAGCGCGGATGCGCAGTGGTGTCGGCAACGCCATATGTTGCATACTGTTGAAAATAAAGCCATGTTTCATCTGACCCCGTGTTTCAACTGGCCCCGCTCTCCCCTATGACGGTACGAATCGTACATTGGAACATTTTTAGTATGTATTTCTACACTAGGTATGCTTTCACAACAAAAACGTCGTGATGATGTAATTTTAAAATTTCTGAGGATGTCATTATACTTTTCATTGGGGGTGACTTTCCCCACAACATCACCAATTTGGCCAAACTGTGTGACGTCATCGGGTGCGTAGTTAGCGGAGCGCGTCCGGGGTGAGCTGCCCGCCGGCGTTGGCTACCGTTTTACTCATTATGATTGCCGCTGTGGACCGGCCTTGTGGCGAAGTGCCATACGGCGTGGTGGCACGCGGTGCATGCCGGACGAGCCTGCCGGCACTGGGGCACTGGATGGAATGGTGGCACAGAGCCGGGGCCGGGGCTGACCCCGATATGGGCAGGCGCGGGAGAGAGGGGGTACCGGGGAGGAGGGAGGGCATCAGAGTACCGGAGAGGGGAGAGGGAGAAACGGGGGGAAATGAGAGCACCGGGGTGAGAGTGCAGCTACCGGAGGCATCGCGATGGAGCTGAATATATCCGAGTGAGCAGATTCAATAGGACGCGAAGTGACTGTTGGTGATAAGTTCACCTATCTGTCTCCCAATGCTTAAGCTTGCAACTCCTCTGACTCTCTCTCTCTCTCTCTCTCTCTCTCTTTCTCTCTCTCCCTCTCCCTCTCCCTCTCCCTCTCCCTCTCCCTCTCCCTCTCACTCTAACACCCATCACCCCGCGTTTCGGCTAGGTGCGTCGACGGCCGGCGGGCTCGACGCGTCCGACCCCCACCCCGCAGAAGGGCGGCACGCTCAGCTTCATGTCGTCGCTGGCTTCTCACCTAGTGGAAGGCGCCCGGCGACACCCAGAGGCTGCAGCGTTTGTCGGCAAGTTCAAGAGCCGTCGCCTGGAGCTGGCCAGGAGGCTGTTTGACATGGTGAACTCGGAGGTGTTTGACAGCAAGGTGAGGACAGCGGAGGGGGGAGGGGGAGGGAGCCGCGGGGCGGAGTTAACAGAAGGAAGACAAGAGAGGGCGCCGCTGGATGGGGTGTGAAGGATAATAGGGGAATAGTGCGACGTCGTTGGGTGACAAAATCCTAGTCATTTCGAAAGAACCTACCTCGTTAGGGACCCGTTTTATCACTTTCCGTAACAGATTCATTCAGCTATTTACGGTGCGCGACAAATGTGGCCAATTAAATTAGCTGACTCCCCAACTAATGCCCGCTTTAAGCGCCTAGTGTTGGTGTATTCGAGCCGAATATATGAAAATTAGCTACCTGCCGGATGACGTAAACTTTCATTTGCATTCGTATTAGCTGAAGTGATAGTTCGCTGTAGCTGTTGCCTGTTGGGTTAGTGTACGGAATTAGCTATGGTTCTGTAGATTTGTTGTAACCCCCGAGTGGAAGGGTCGCGGCTCGACGGTGGTTTACGGTGCAGTTATGGGTGGATATAGTTAGCCCACAACATAGGCCTGAAGCACGGCTACCGTCACGTTTACACACTTATTATAATAAGCTGTAGGTACTACGATCACACCCGCCCCCGCCCCCGCCCTGTAGCTGCCCCCCGACATGGAGATCAAGTTCAACAAGCGGATGCTGCGCACGGCCGGCTATTGCTACAGCCGACAGGCGGTGTCCGCGGGCCCGGACGGCGCCGCCGGCCGCTCAGCGCGCGTCGAACTCTCCGAGAAGGTGGTGGACAGTGCCGAGCGACTGAGGGACACGCTGGTGCACGAGCTGTGCCACGCGGCCGCCTGGGTGGTGTCCGGCTACCGGGGCGGCCACGGTCCCGTGTGGCGCGGCTGGGCGGCGCGCGTGCAGCGCCGCTTCCCAGAGCTGCCGCCAGTGACGCGCTGCCACAGCTACCAGATCCACTGCAAGTACACCTACCGCTGCACCGGCTGCGGGTACAGCTTCGGCAGACACTCCAAGTCGCTGGACGTGACGAGGAAGGTGTGCGGCCGCTGCCGGGGCGTGTTCGAGTGCGTCCTGACGGCGCGCCGGGGCGAGGAGGGCGGTGGGGGAGCGACCCCGGCCACACCGCGCGCCGCCGCGCCGTTCGCTCTGTTTGTGAAGGAGCACTACAGCGCTATGAAACGCTCCGCTGGCACCGGCACCAAACATGCCGATGTGATGCGACTGCTCGGACAGAAGTTTGCGGAGACCAAAATCAGTCAGGCTAAAGCGAAGGCGACAGAATGCGAGGACTTTTAGCGGGTGGATACGAATTCGTGGATTGACGTTGCAATTCGACTGACGCAATGAAAATGACTCGAGACGATCGGCCTACGAAACACGATTGGCCGTTTGCTCACGACCGATACGATCGCAGATACGATTTATATCACTCACCGACTCGATCTATGTTTTGGATAGATCATGCTTTTGGGTTCTATTGGGACCGATTGTAATTCGGTTCGATCTTTTTTACCGACCCGACATAACGACTGATTGTTTCATAGCACGTATCTTATTTTATAAATGAAAATTACCGTCGGTCATATATGTATTTGACTCTTCTTATAATTAGCCGTGTTTTGTAACGTAAGGGTAATATTTTGGTGATCGTCATGGTCATAGGGGGTTCTTGACAGAGTAACGCCGTATCACCCACCTTCACCGCTCTATTTCTTCCGTAGACTGTGCATGTGTGCCTTTGTGTGAGCGCGGTCATGTTTGAGTGTGCATTTGTGCTTGATACGGCCTTCACTGCCAAATGGGGTCTTGGGGTGTGTAAAAAGTGTGGCCCTGTTGGCACTAGTAGGTGTGTCGTATGTACCACAAGGCGCCCTATCAGCGGAGCAGTGTCGTTTAGAGCGACTTTACTGCGATCTCGAGAAGCCAGTGACTGTCGCATATCAAAGCTCGGCTGTTTTGACAAGGCCGCGCATTGCCCTAGCTCCAGCGACTCGGGGGAACTTGCCTGTGTGCGATGTTCGTATAAGTTTACGACATTGCCATCAAACGCTAGACAACGCGTATGATTGATACCTGTTTTATGAACGAAAGTGGAAACAAATTTATGACAAGTAAATTAAATGAGACATCGAGTTTTATTTTTTGTGACATATCAACCACCGTCGACCGTTATCCCTACTCAATCTGTATTTGCCTGCAGCGTTCTCCATCCTCTATTATTTATTGGAATACTATTGGACTTTTAGGCTATGTTGCTGAAGTGTGCTGATGTCGAAATGCTCTCATGGTGGCTCCTGTGCTGGGATATAAAGCTGCTGTTTTGTAAATACAACTTTCCTAGTGGATAAACGAAATGTTACGTCGAAATGAAAAGTTATTCGGACATTTTTTACGGGGTCACGTGTGGTGTTTTTGCAATCATAATCAATATGACTTTTGTGGTGACGTTTGGGGGACCGTGATGCCGGACGGGCCTTTTACCACCCGGGTACGTCCCGAAAATGCGATATTCCTGCAATCCGAATTGCAACTGCGAGTGCTTTTGGCTTTGAGTCTGAGCCAATTCATGCTCTCTCGAGGCGGGTAGGTTTCTTTTGTCACCTTAGTGAGGATGTCCAAATTGCACGCGTTTGAGTGTCCGGGTTCACCGGATTAACACACGGATTTCCAGTCTTGTGTGACCAATGGCATGACTGGGTCAGGGAACTGTTTGTCTCGTGACCAGCCAGTCATGTTACCAGACCTTTGACCTGTCCCTTGTTGACCTGTGCCGAACTAACCCGGTCAGGAGCGATCAGCTCCTCTCCAATGAGGTCCATCTTCACACTAGCACCGTGGCTGTGCGCCCGTGCGGCCTCAGCAGACCTAGTTGAATGGAATCACAGCGGCCTCGCTCGACCATCAGGCCACTTTTTGTGCGTCAGATTGGCCCATCCGTGTTTCAATCAAGTCATGCACTGATGTGGTATGAAGACGAAGCTGCTCTGTGAAATATCTCAACGATGGTAGCGACTAGCGATCCTCACGGGGTATTTGATGTATGGAATAGGATAACTGATAATTGTTTGATGTTTGTTAGCGAACTTCTGACTCCCTTTTGAGCGTTGTCACTCATTCATTACTATATAGATCTCAGGTCAGTCGGTGACCTCTGAGGTCAAGTACAAAAGTAAGGGTTGGTGACGGTTTTTGGTGCCGCCTGCCCGGGAGGGTTAAATTGTAGGTCGAAGCTTGGGGAAATGCTTGCAAGCCATATAATCAGACATTACGCCATTACCTTTAGGCGAAATTGGGGGACCGGTGTATTTCGTCGATACGGCTATAGATATTATAGATACAGATAGGATGTAACTTTATGCGAATGTGCAGTGGGGAAGCGGGGCCCTGCTGAAGTAGCAGACCTCTCCATGGTGCAAAGCATGACGTCGAGTCGTCGGGTGGGCCTCCCTTGGCTGATCTCCAGCGGTAAAATAATGGACTGGGCACCAATGAGCGAATGTAGTTCTTATGGAGGCTGCTCTACATGCCGAGGTCATTTGGCGTTCATAACAATAGGTTATGCAGTCATGCAAGTGGTTGCGCAATGCAGGGATTCCGCAGTGCCTTCACTGGAGTATTTCCCGGTTGGCCAAGGTCAGGTGTACATTTGCTTATTATGCATTGCTGACAAGGCGGTGACGTCCATATGTTCAGTGTTGACCGCTGCCGGCTCTGTTGGCAGACGTCAGCGTTTCGAGTCCGGTAAATAATAACATCACGTACAACTCGGCTTCCTCTGCTGACTTCAGTCCCCGTACCTAGTGATCATTTTTATACCGTTACGTTAGAAATAAGCGGTGCATCGGACTTCGCCACCCGTTGAAGACACCGTCATATTACGAATAGCTGTGTTTATACTTATATTATAACGGGCAATCAAAATTAGAGATTAATAACAACCCTATTCTTGTACGACGGTAGAGGTTTTTTTCTTTTCACCGTCTCTGAATCGGTTGCACCGAGTGACCGAAGTGGCTCAAAAGAGTTATCAACTCGGTCCCGACAGGCCATGTCATCGAGGATAAGCTGGTATCAATATCGAGTATAGTTTCTAGCGCGCGCACAATCATCCGTCGTCGATCTGCCAATCGGTGTCAAGTTACGGTGTCGCCTGACGCCTCCCCCCCCCCCCCAGACCCGGGTGTCACCGGTCGGTGTCCTGTGTTCAGTTTCCTAAGTCGGGCCAAACTCTAAACGTTAACCCCTCATACAGCTCCCAGCTCGGGCCAGACGGGTTGTGGTGGAATGTTGCCGACTGATTGCGCGCAAACAAAGACGAACGTATCCGTCATCGCGCGGCTGTCTATCCCAACTCGTCAAATGGAGCTTATTTGCGTAGGGCGTGCACCTGCATAACGTATCGACTGAGGCTGACTGATCAACGGACACTGGCTGAGCTGACACTGTTTCATAGCTATGTTTCCATGGCACAAGTTAAGCCGATTTTGCAAAATGGATATGCTCCTTCATGGCATTTAGGCATCATTTAGTAATGTAAATATAGGATTAGGTGCCAGCTAAAACCACATATACGTTCATTTTCTTTGCATAACGTGAATAGTATCCGAGAAGGCACGTGAAATTTCACTAAATCGATTTAGACGTGTCATGGAAGCGTTTAGTAGTAGGCAGCGCCTCGGCGCCAACTATATTTAGCTCAGAGTCAGAACTGGTTTTTGCTCATGAAAGGTGAACGTTGGTGTCATGACATGGTCTAGGGAGTTTCCCAATGGCCGAATATTCCCGCGACGGTTCAACCGCTTTATAGATAAAACCGGCTTGGCTGTAATTGAGTAATTTAATGTCCTGTCTGTCCGTAATCGGCATCGACCATTGCTTGATGATGCATGCCATTTTAGCGTGCGATCATATATTACATATATAAGTGTGATAAGGCAGGAGACGAAATTTACACTCTAAGCGTCGTATTCAGAGTGATGGCGTTCTATTGAACCCTGAGAAAGCACTCTACAGTCTGCATTGTGTATTGTATGATTGTGTACTAAGGCTGCGAATTAGGGGCTACGGTAATATCGATGATTTTAACGTACCTACCTTACCAGTAACCTTGTATGAGTAATAACCGACAAATAGATGCGGAAAGCCGAAAGAATACAAATTAGCTGAGCGTAAGTGCCTGCTGCCAACTGCTCTTCACTTTGTCGTAGGGACGGGTAACGTTGCTGAGCCTGAGGATATATGCTGCACCGCACTACAACACACAGAGACTGGTCATGTTGTATACCGCTACCGCTACACGCTGTCAGGGACTGGGTAATGGTATAATGTAACTTGTAAGGGCGCATACACACAAAACTGGGTATGCTGTACCGCAATGCACACAACAGCTGGGTATACTGCACCGCACTACACACAAACTGGTCTGGGTATGCTGTACCGCACTACACAACTGTATGCTGTGCCGTACTACATACAGTTACACAAAACTGGGTGTTATACGGTATCCACACAACAGCTGGGTATGTTGTTAAAAGTATAACGCACGTCACACGGAACTGGGTAGGTATGCTGTACCGCAACACACAGTAACTTGGTATGCTGCACCGCACTACTCGCGGGACTGGGTATATTGTATGTTTTACTGTGTTGCGGGATATAACACAGTAATCAGTAAATCACATCAGAATGGAATGGAAAATGCTCTACCGCAATGCACGCTTCCAAGGGCTGGGTATGTTCAGTGTTATGTGTGTGAATTGTGATAAACTGTAAGCACAGCACGGAGCGTTGAGACCACCGGTTACGTCGTCGCTCACGTGAGTAAACCTGCCAATGTGGGTAACTTGCTGCCGAAGTTGTGCTATCGCTGTGGTGTGAACTATTACCTCTCCGTGCGGTTGTGGGCATACGTAAACCTCGGTTCATAAAACCAACTTCATACAATGTCACATATGCTCCGTTTCATAACTGAGGTAACGACATTCGCTGAAATCGGAGCAGCACTTGGTTTGGTTGCTTGCTACTTCCCCTGGCTCTTTTGTGCAATTACTTTATGACCATGTGTGAAATGCCCTAGGTGCCGTCTGCCGAGCCAAATACCCATCGATATGTGGGCAATGGGAAACCAACCGGCACGGTAGGTATAGATTTTAAGAAAATTAATGCGAAACATACCGCTGGTACACTGGAAGGAAGGCTACAAGGAGCGTCGCGTTATCAGGAGTCAGAATCGATGATTTATTGCTTAGTGCATTTGAGTTTCCGGCAATACATATTGGTTGTCGAAGTTGATTTTTGACCAATTAAACCGACATAAGCCGACAAAAAAATCATATCCAAGATTAATCAAGTTGATACCTGACTCAGTGCCTCGGGACATTTTCCCTGCCGCCTGTCCTCACTTCTTCTGTCCAACGTGACCCTCAATCACCGTGCCTGACTTGAATTCCGACTGAGGGGCCACCGCTGCAGGTATACGGTCGAGAGCCAATGTCAGTGTCACACGCCAAATGACTGGAAGATGGCCAGCATGATACGGCCCGCCTCCCCTTGACCAAGTCATCTGGTAAGTGTGTCAGCCGCATTGTATGGGCCAGCTCCTGTCTTATTCATGGCCCGTCATCATGACGGCTCTTTTCGCACTCAAGTCTGGTAACGTGGCCAGCTGTCGCGAGGGAGCCATGGTCGAGGTGTATAGGCGTTCACCGGTCCAACCCAGCCAGATGACTGGTCCCCTGCCGACTCTGTTCTGTGGCTGGGACCCCCAACACAGGCTCCCCTCGACTCTGACCTGATTATCAGTGCTCCCTCCTGGCTCCGCAGTTCGTTATACGGTTCCGCCCCGGTTCGTTCCGCGTCGCCAACTCGGCGTGTTGATGGGGGTGTCAGCTCACGGCAGGGAGGGCGGCCTTGGACCTCACACCACCCCTCTGCGGGCCACACAGGCCCTCGGAGCAGCTGCCTGACGGACTCGAGGCACCGGACGGGCGGGTGGCGCGGGCGGGCGGGTGCCGGGGGTGTGCCCCCGGGGCTGACCGGTCGGCGATGGGTGCCAACTGGGCCGCCGCTGTACCCGGCGCCGGCCTGTCGCCCGGCAGCCTGCCGTGTTGCGCAGAGTCCCGCGGTAATAAACAGAGGAATGCGGCGAGCGGGGAGCACGCCGGTGCTGGGCGGGGCTCGGGGCTCGGTAGGGTGACGCGCCACACGAGCTGGAGCTGACCTGGCCGTGAGCAACGCTAATTAATCTGGGTCACCTCCGCGGGCGGGGCTGCAGCGGGCCGATGACAGCCGGGTGGGCTCTGGCCACGAACTTGAGGCACGCTCTTCGTCACAATTCTTCAGCATTCGTTATTTC